CAAACAGTGATTTGGAAAGGAGGATTCGAAAAGTTTGGTATTAAATATTATGGATGTTTAGCTAGAATAGGACATAAGGACTCAGTGTTTATTGGAGGATTTCAGAAATATTAAATGAAATGCCAGTATGTGGTTATGTACTAAATCTTGGTATATTTTATGATGAAGGACGTTTAAACAATTATAGTCAAATAAAGGAGGAATAATGATGATAACCTATATATATGTGTATGGGTACAATATAAGGAAACTGGATGAAAATTGCAAACAGTGATTTGGAAAGGATTAGAAAAGTTTGTTATTAAATATTATGAATTATAAATATTAGAATAGGACATAAGGATTCAGTGTTATTGGAGGATTTCAGAAATATTAAATGAAATGCCAGTATGTGGTTATGTACTAAATCTTGGTATATTTTATGATGAAGGACGTTTAAACAATTATAGTCAAATAAAAATGGAGTTATAAGGGTAACATGTATAAATATCTGAGTTAAAATACTTGAGCTAATTTGAATTATGCTTGATGACTGTGGAAGAGATGCACAAAAGCCTTTTGTAACCAACTGATACACTTTCTACAGTATGTAAAGAAGGAAGATTTTATGTGTTGTGTTTGTTTTGAAAACAAAAAATAAAATTTATATTTAAAAATGGTTTTAAATATTCAATGATGGACTGCTTGAAATGGTTTTTTTTTTTTGGCTTGGACTCAATTTAGTGGCATACAAACTTGATTAATAAACATAATTTATCTTGGCTTGAAACAATATTACACACTGCAAGACATAAACTTCATTAAAAAAAATGCAACACTCAGCTCCTTGTGCTTCTTCAAATTAAGATTTAAATCAGAAATACACTTGAAAATGAGTTACTACTGAATATCTATTTTATTTCCATTTTAAATTGAACTCTAATATTTGGAGTTAGCATATCATATAGGCATTCATGGGTGGGTTTATACAGCACATGTGATGTCATGACTAAAGATGCATGAATCTGGTGAGTCCTGTACTCCATACAACAGATTAACAGAGGTAGAAGAGATCTTGGAGGTCTTCTAATCCAACCCCCTGCTCAGGCATGAAACCTTATATCCGTGATGTTAAACCTATGGCACACATGCCACAGGTGGCACACGGAGCCATTTCTTAGGGCACGCAAGACCTTTCCTGTCAGCTCTTGCGCCCATGCGTGCACTGGCCAGCTGATTTCTGTCTTCATTTTCAGCCATTTTTCATCCTTTTGAGCAACGCACAAACCGGAAGTTCAGGATTCCGGGTTGGCTGTTGGGCCATTTTTCACCCTCTGGAGACTTCAGAAGGCTTCCCTGAAGCCTCTGGAGGGTGAAAAGTGGTCCAACGCACAAACCGAAGGGCTTCTGGGTTGTCGATAGAGCCATTTTCTGTCCTCTGGAGGTTCATGGGCGGGCACATAGAATTATGGGTGTGGGCATACACATGCACAACCCCCCGCGCTCCCCCCCAGTTTTGGCACACGATGGCAAAAAGGTTAGCCATCTCTGCCTTATACTATTTCCGACCAATAGTTGTACAATCTCCTCTCCTCTTAAAAACTTCCAGTGTTAGAGCATCCATAACTTCTGGAGGCAAGTTGTTTCACTGATTAATTGTTCTAACAATCAGGAAATTTCACCTTAGTTCTAGATTGATTCTCTCCTTGATTAATTTCAATCCAGTGGTGGGTTCCGCCTCCCATTGCAACCAATACGCTGCAACAGGGCTGGGCATGCACCACGTGTATGTGCACAGCACACGCATGCATACCCACCTCCCACGACACTCCAGCTGCTCGGCAGAGAGTCACGTAGGTGCCATATGCCCCGTGCATGTGCGGAAATGCCCCAGTCGGCTCAAATAGAGGTAAGGGGAGCAGGCAGGTGGATTGGCCCTCTGGCACACCGTACCGGAATGGTACCTGGTGGTCCCAGTAGGCACCAGTACATCCATAGGGCATACCAGTTATATCCCACAACTGTTTCCATCCATTGCTTCTTGTCCTGCCCTCAGGTGCTTTGGAGAATAACTTGTGACAGCCCCTGAGCTATTGGAACACTGCTATCATGTCACTGCTAGTCCTTTTCATTAAACTAGACATACTCAATTCCAGCAACCTCTTTTTATATGTTTTGGCCTCCAATCCCTAATTATCTTGTTGCTCTTCTCAGTACTCTTTCTGGAGTCTCAACATCATGGCAACCAAAACTGGATGCAGTATTCCAAGTATGGTTCTACCAAGGCATTATAGACAGGGTGGGATTTCTACCATGAAAATCACAATGTGTGCTTCTCTATACTTTCCTTCCCTTGCAGCCCATGCATTTATCAAAAAATAAATTTATTAGGCTGGTAACCTCTGCTGAATGGGGCTGAGGCACAGAGGAAGAAGAGGGAATTCCCTCCAAATGGGACAGAAGTATCTTCTATAAGGAAATTCTTCCAATTCCTGCAACAACCTTCCAGAAACCTAGCAGGGCTTAATGGCTCATTGTGTAATATCAGGGAGGATAGTGTTGCTGCACAACAATCATAGGACAGCAACATAATCTACTTCCCCCAATTTTTCTGAAAGCTCCTATATCTCTATCCAAAATCATTTATGAATAACAAGACTAAAAAAATAATAGGCAAAACTGTAGAAGTATCAAAAAGTATTTATTCAAGACTACTGTAAAAAATAATTCTAAACAAATTATAACAAATTGGATTAGGATTCTTCTCCCTAGCAGTGTTGACATCTGAATTTTGCAAAATCAACATTCTTTCATTCCTTCATTTTTCCTTTTCTTCATCTTTTTATTTATTTATTTTATTTATTTTAACGTGTTATATAAACATACACTAAAACTTCTTACATTTGTTTAATAAAAGAAAGACCTGGTCAGTATAAAAAAGCACCATTCTTAGCTCACAAGTTAAACATGTTTTCAAAGCCCTTCTAGAAAAAAATATTTTTAATCAAAAACTATAATTTGGAAGAGCCAATTAGAATTAAAAATCAGTGTCTAATAGCATAATTCAAGAATATTCCCTGCATCCAAGTAGTAATTCGGGTTCACATTTTTTGACAAGCAAGAAGCAAATCCAGCTCATCCTAAATACATAGGCTAGGTAAGAATGACATCAGCTGAGGAAATACTATTGATGCTAACTGCCATCTACCAGAAGTTGAATTGTACTTTGAGTTATACCCAGGGGAATCTCAGCTGTCCATCAAGAGAGTGACACTTAACAGCCTCTTCTCTGAGTAGTTTTATTTAGAAGCAATAATAATTATACTGATTCCTCTCCTGTTGTTCTCAGTGTTTGCAAAGCGTAGTCAGAACTAGCATGTAAAAGGCTCCAACCATTAGGCTCCACATTTATAGGACTTTCTGTATGTGAAGAAATATATCTCTACTGTCTGGGATCTATTAAGTAGAAGATACTTTTTTGCACCATTCAATTACTAATGCTATTATATCTTGACTCCATAAATGCAGATAACTATGAAATGACACCAAATCTCTGTATTTCTTCACTGTCAATTTACAGTTGTACAGATTTTTGCAGATCTATATATTGGCAAATTTTGTGGCTTGATCAGTTTTAAACAAATGGTTCAAAAGCTAGGATCTGATGTAACCTGAAATGGCCCCAAATTTGTACCACTTAAAACATTTGTATAAAACTTTCTTTACCTTTATTTGTTTGATTCCAGTTATTTTAGCTCATTTCTTACCCAAGGATAATACTGAGTAGTTACAGAGTTATACCAACAAGTTAGGAATTGTTAGATTCTGTATCCATTTGGGAACTGATGATTAGACAACTAAAATTTGTTTTTCTGTTAGTATCTACTTAATTCACAAATAGAGATCAATGCCCACTTAGCCACAATTATGGCAATTTAAGGGTGTAATAGATTCCCATTCTAATTGGTTTTTTGAGAATCATAGACTCAAATCGTTTAAGTAAAAATGGCCAACAGTAAATTCAGGAAAATCATTCTTGCTTTTTTTTTTTTTTTTTTTAGTATATCTTACTCCAGGAGTTACCCATTTTTAATCAGCCATCTTTATATATACATATTTTTTGCAGACCTAAATATAGGATAGGAAAATCAGAAACATGGGGTACTCTAGTTATTGCTGAACTATAATTCCCTGCACCCTTCACAATTTGCCATGCAAAACTATGGCTGCTGGGAGTTGTAATTCTGCAATATGTGGGGGCCATCTTTGCAGAAGCTGCATTACCATAGACTTCACTAAATCATAATGCCAGCAGCCACTTTATGATAGAATACTTGCAAATTAGCTTAGAGCCCCATCTCTAGTCTGAAAACCGTTGCAACAAATTATCTTCCCCACGTAGGACACTGCTGTTCCCTGCAGTGCTACTATCCATGAAGCGTTCACAAGGGAACTCAATGAGGTCAGCCTCACGCAAGGCACAAACAGCACTATGTGGTGTCCGGTGGGACTGGAACCCAGAAAAGTCAGTGGAAATGCCTGTCCCCATGGACCGGAGGGGCCGACGGGTAGAATACATCTGCCTAACATGGACTGGTGAGGCTGCCTTTCTCCGACGGCACCCCAGGACCTTCTTCCGCACCAGGCGGGAAGCCCAGGCTGCCAAAGCCAGGAAGAGTAGCAATGCATTGACTGCCAATAGCACAAGGGTGAGGAGCTGCTGGTCCAAGCTTTGTGTCCCCCCAGCCATTGCAGCAGCAGCTGCCCCCATGTCATCTTCAGGCAAAGTGACCAACCCTGCACAGTGGTCCCGTGGTGCCACTGGGCAGACCCGGCCCCCCATCACTCCCTCCACACAAACCAGATATGGGGTATCCGGGCGCAATTCTCGCAGAGTGGCTACCGGCTCGTTCCATTCAGGGATATAAACAAAGCGCTGGAACTTGATGGCAGTGCCAAAGCGATCAAAAAGGACTCGGAAGCGCACTGGCCCTAACAAGCGAGGGCTGCGATGTGGGCGGACCCCCCAGTGCACTGTCACTGCACTCTCAGTGACAGTATCCACTGTCAGGTTGTACAGAAACAATTTGTTAAAATCACATGGATCAGTGACCAGAGGAAGGGTACTAGACACCGAGGAGACCAAGTGGTGTTTTCCCGCTCGCCGAGGCCAGGCGGCAGCAAGTACAGAGGGAGACCTAGTACTGATAAGAAAGCTGGGCAACAGGGTGGTTGGAGCTGTCTCAACATTAAAACTTCCCTTTTCAGGTACCATCTTCTGGGACAACGTTAGCAACCCAGTTGAAACAGAAGGTGGGGAGCTCTGTTTATCTAAATTAGAGTTACCATTGCCTCCTGGGCTTGCAGATGTTAACCCTTCCAAACAAGAGCCATTAGAAAGCGAGAAGAGTTGCACATCCTCTAAGTAATCAAGGTATTTCCCAGCCAGGGCAGGTGGCCGGTGACACTGGACAAACACAGTCAGGAGCCGGCCCTGGGAATGCCAGGATGCAAGCCACTGCTTCAGCCCCTGCAAGTGGCAGTCGCAGCTCCAGGGATTCCCATCCAATTCCAAGCGATACAAGGCTGGGTTGGAGGTGAAGAGCTCTCCAGACAGGGAGGCCAGGGCATTTCCCTGCAAACTGAGCTCTCTCAACTTATTTAGGGGACCAAAGGTGCCAGCAGGAAGAGTAGTGATGAGGTTGTTACTCAGATCCAGCACCTCCAAGCTTTGCAGAGGCTGAAATAAGGTGGCAGGCAGTTGGCCTAGCAGGTTCCCTTCCAAGTGCAACTCTTTCAAGGACTCCAGACCAGCAAAAGCCTCCACTGGCAACCATGTCAGTCGGTTTCCACTCAGTGACAACCTAGCCAAGTTGGAGAGGTGTTGGAAGAGTCCTTTCCCTAGCTGTTGCATGTCATTCCCAGAGAGCAGGAGGGTGCTAAGCAAGCGCAGAGACCTGAAGGTGTCTGGGTGGCGCAGCAAATTCTGCTGGTTGCCAGACAGGTCAAGGAAACGAAGCTTGCCAAGGCCAGCAAAGGCATTACGGCTTAGCCAACGGATCTGGTTGGCCTCCAGATGCAAATACAGCAGGTTGGTTAGTCCTGAAAAGGTGGCATCACTCAGCGAGGCCAGCAAGTTACCGTCGAGCCGCAGCTTGATCAGATTGCCTAGACCAGCAAAAGAAGCCGTGCTTAGATAAGTGATCTCGTTAGCGTTGAGGTAGAGGACTCGCAGTTTAGCCAGGGGGCGGAGTGTGCCCGGCGCCAAGGAAGCCAAGAGGTTGTTGCCCAAGTAAAGCTCCTCCAGACGCCCCAGGCGCTCGAAGGCTTTCGGATGGAGCGAACGGATTCGATTATACTGCAAATCTAGGCGCTGTAGCGCCACTAAGCGGTGAAAGTCCAAAGCCGAGACATTAGCAATGAAATTGCCGCCCAGGCTGTAGGTGAGGATGTCCTGTGGCTCGGCGGCCTTGGGCACCGACCGTAGTCCCCGATTGGTGCAGAGGATATGCTGCTGCTGCTGGCAGTCGCATGACTCCGGACAGATGGGCGCCACCGCCGGCGGAAGCAGAACTAAGAGAGAGCAGGCGACCAGCAGTTGCATCAGGAGGACTCTGAGCTGGAGCAGCAGCGGCGGCGGCTCCATCTCTCTAGGGCGAGCGGCGGGCTTCTTCCCCAGTTCCCTCGGCGTCTCTCCTGCATCCCCTCCTTGTAGGCGGCGGCTTCGGTCGGGGTCCGAACCCAGGTCCGAGTGCGGCGCTGACGGCTCCTTGCTCCAGACCCTGTCCGAGCGCTCCGTCGCCAACAGCTTCTGCAGCTTCCGACGCCGCGCCCTCGCGATGGGCTCTGGCTCCCCGCGACCCTCTCCTCTCTGCGTCTGAGCGGCTGCTCTCGAAGCCTGTAAGCCAGGCGGGGGTGGCGGCCAGGGACAGACAATCGGAACGGAAACTCGCACTTCCCACACTTCGCCCCCGGGGACTCGCTAGACCTGGAGATCGGGTGGAAGGAGGGGAGCGGGAGAAAGGCCAGATTCAACGGATTGGAAGGAGGCAGGAGGACCAGGGCGGCGCGGGGTTGGGGGGAGAAGAGGGAGGGGTAGCGAGTGGAGCGTAGCTAAAGAGCGCGATAGCCGTCTAGGCAAGGGAAGGGGAGAACGGCATAGAAATAGAAGCCCCTGGCCCCAAGATTGAGCGCTCATAAATTTTAATATAGGGAGGAGTCGGAATGGCCAACGTACTGGGATTCCTCGTGGCCTTCCCCAACCCTAGTGTAGGTCGTCGTCGCCGCCTGTCTGTCTGTCCAAATTAATAGCCGCGGTTTAGAGCAGTTTAGAATTTGCCCTTGCACAAGAAGAAATCTGATTCCGATTGCCTGAGCGCCCAAAGTGGATGCTGCCTTCATGGACCTGCGACAGTTTTCCAAAACAGTCCCCTGTGCTAAAATGCGCTTGGTGTGTTTCCTGCTCCGCTACACCATTAAAGCATTCAAAACAAGCAGGATATAATCTCCGCAAACCTAATGATTTCCAAATGGCTGGAAATTATAGCTTCCTTGACTGTACTGACTTGGCGTTCTCAGAGAGATTCCTGAATTGGAGGGCTTTAGGTTCAGAAAATGTTAGACTAGAAAATGAGAGTTGCTTATGTCCACTTCACAAAATTGTGTTAAGATAAAAGGTTGTGCATTGTGTTCAAGAGAGTGGGGGTGGCTGTATCCAATATGTTTTCCAAAAATTTAGGGAGACTAGATGTTCTCTTCAAACAATTTAAATGGTAATCCCATGGCTGTGTTGAGGTTTTTTTCAGATTTTCGGAAGAGTGTTTAACAACTTCCTTTACTTTTCCAACCTGGCAATATTACCCATAGTCCAACCATTAGAGCATGACAGATTAATTTGAAAGTCTCTGGCCTCTTTTCACCTCAACATGCTTAAGTTTAAGATCTCAAAAGTTTACACCCATAATTTAACAAATTCCTTACATTTGCAGGTTTTATGCACTGAAAAACAGAAGTAGGTATTGGTAGGAACCCAAACTACAATGAACACTAACTTCATTAAATGAAAGAAAAACCATCTAATAGTGAAATCTAATTTCACCTACAGTAAACACTAACTTTATTAGATTAAAAAAAATTGAAATTTTAAAACATTCTCAATGAAAAGGGATAGAGGTGGCTGATTTTGAAGTAAAGAAGAACCTAGTCAGAAAACTGAACAATATACAAATTGGATTGCTTTAGATTGGTGTTTCTTAAAGAAATGGAAAAATAAAACGTTAATTTTAAGTAGCTTTATTCATCCCTGTTTTGCATTTCTGAACTCAGGTCAAAAACTACACAAATCCTGCAGATGATTTTGGCATTGCGGTCTTAAATCAGTGAAATACTAGTTCTGAATGGGATTCAGCAGGAGCATTTGGTAGTTAGCCAGACGGAGAAGAACTGTTGGAAAGAGGACAAGAAAATTATATGGATAAAAAAATCTTGTACTAGCCTTTGGATATAAAGTTGACATTTTGAACCAAACATCTGTAAGAATGAACATTATTCCAATCCAAGTATTAACTGGATTTTCTATTAGAAAATGAAGATTAATCATATTTTTTCCCTTCATCCCAGCAGTTCGTACAGATATTGAGAACTCAGGAACCATCTCAGCACCTGGTAAATTGTAAATTAAGAATCTACCACCTTGCCTTGAAAACCATGGCTGGATTTACTTGTCTTGGTAATATTTAGAGTAGGTTTTTGGCTTTAACTTTGTATGTTTCCAAACTGTGTTTTATATATTTGTTTGATATATAAATAAGTTCACAATGGCTTGTTCAACAAACCACAGTCAAAACTCCATACTTTTATTAATCTCTGAACAAACAGATGTTCCTGGTGCATATATATGATGTTTTCCCTGTTTTCCCTGTATACTTAAGCAATGCATTTATTTGATTAAAGTATACCCCACCCTTCAATCCAGAAAACATTCCCAAAGTGACTTACATAATCATGTTAAGAACAACAATGCCGTCATCTACATAACATCTGTGGGATCTTCAATACAGATTTTGTTTTTCAATCTGTTAAGATTCTACAGACTCTTGAAGCAAAGCACTTTTAACAAGCTAATGCATAAAATATGTTTAGCATTTTCAGTGAAAACTGAAATATAATGGAATAAAGTCTGTTGAATACTATGTGACATTTCTTGCATAAACATACATAGATTGCATTATAAGTCACACTAGCAAATGTATTTCATCTGCTGATAAAATACATTATGATAATTTTCAGTGCCAATGCTATTAAACTTAATATAACTGCATTGAGTAATTTGGGCATTTTGTTGCCAAACATCACAGGAGAACCCCATATGTATACCACTCCTTCAGATTTATGGCTTACTTGTGGAAGTAATCTATCTGCCATCTATACTTCACATTGATTGAGCAACATTGCAGATAAGGCATTTTATGATGGAATTAATTTGCTTTCATTTAAGAATAGAATGTCATCTGAAATAACATTTGGGCAATAGCTCCAAATAACATAAAAAATAAATAAGGAGAAGTGGCCAAATATTTATTATATGTACCTTTTTCTTAGGAATGTAAAATGTATTCTTCCTGAAATTATTTTCTTAACACTGAATAAATAAGGAGTAATGGAAGGCCCTAACTAGCTATATTTCAGTTGTATTAGACTACAACTCCCTAGCCAGCACTTAACTATGGTTTACACATAAACATAGCAGAGATCTGTTTCTGCCCACTCAAATTTATCCTCCAAGCATGTAGGATTTCAATATTTAAAAAATTCACCACCCACTCAAGTTAGATAGAATACAAATTTAAATGCATGTGTGTTTCTGCCAGAAGCAGATTTCCCTGTTAACAAAGGTTAGGTGGATAGGGATACTCAGTATTTGGTAGAGTTATTTTTTCTCATTAAGTCTACTCTGTATAGCAATTTGTCCTATAGATTATTTCATAAGGTTCCATAAGGAAGAAAGGAAAATCTTCAGTTGCATGTGGCCAAATCTGGACTCAGTCCAATTATGATTAGTCACATTCTTATGTGAGAGGTCCCTCCTCAGTTGTTTCAATATGTGCCCAAGTAATTCAGTGGTCTAAAGGAAACCAGAGAATTGCTATGGGCACAACCAGGTGGGAATTTCCTATGAAATATTACCTATGCAAGCCTGTTTGTATGCATACTTTTCTCCTAAATACACTCCTTAAGAGTACTTATATTCAAAAAGTGTAAATTTAATTTTGTGGATCATGTTCTATAGATAATCTGCAGTTTTGTCCAATTAAGAAAACAAAGCCAAGAAAAAGAAAGTTGAAACAAAACGAAGTAGTTTTAATTCCTGTGCAATAATTAGAATAACACAATTGCCTATGAAATGTGTACAAATGCTATGATTTTAATTCTTACAGAACACTATTAAAATAATAAATGATGAATTGTTTCTCTGAATCTTTTTTCCAATTATCTCGGCTAACATGGGATTTTATCAGTTTCTGTATCACTAAACTGCAGAAACACAGATGACCTCTAAATAGCAACAGTATGAAAACACCAAAGTTCAATTTTTTTATACTACCGAATTCTTGTCTAGATTCTGATATTCCTTAAGAAGTATAAACCTAAGTTTGAATAAACTTGCTCTACATAGCAATAGCAATAGCAGTAGACTTATATACCGCTTCATAGTGTGCCTTCTCTAAGCGGTTTACAGAGAGTCCGCATATTGCCCCCAACAATCTGGGTCCTCATTTTACCCACCTCGGAAGGATGGAAATAGCAATAGCAGTAGACTTATATACCGCTTCATAGGCCTTTCAGCCCTCTCTAAGCGGTTTACAGAGAGTCCGCATATTGCCCC